GCAGATCAGAAAATGGATGGATGGATGGATGGATGGATCAAGCTGCCAGTGTTTTGAGCATCTAAAATAAATCTTGTGCCTTCTCGTTTGTGCTTCCAGTATAGCTCTGGGTGCTTCTCAACAAGACTGGTTGGACTTGAGGATCCATACCAGTTCTCACCGCTGGCGGTTGCCCGGACTGCAGTGTCTTTCCAAATCTGAACCCTGATCAGCAAACACTGAACTCAATCTCTTTTTTTCACAGAGATCCACCCGATTTAATGGAACACTATTTTACATGTAATAAAAATGTTTTGAAAGTTATTTTGAAATAATGTGATAAATCATACAGTCATCAAAAAATATGTTGGGTAAGGGTTTGGCTGAACCATAAACAAACATTTCACACTAGTTGCTGTGTTGTGAAATCCATGGCAAAGGTGGGAACCTTAGCAATAGGTCACCTGCACTTTTCATCACCTCTGCATTGTATTTTTTTCACTCAGCAACTTGAGTTCATCGTATAGCGTTTCCGAGGACAGCGGGGTCCGTTTCATAAAGACAGTTCATTAAACTCTGTCTAATGCTGAACTCTAAGTTGATATACTCTGCAGTAGGAAACCTTGAGTTTCTGGTTCCAGAACAGCGGATTTGAATCAGTTTAATCAACTTAGAGTATCTTCACCAGGAGGTAGGTGCGTGCACTACAACTATGGAGTAAAGACAGCATTCAAGGATCTCCGATTCGACGAGTCAGCACGGCAATGGGAGGGCTGCATTTCATCCCACTCGAGCTGAAAATATTAATGCACTCATACAGTGTGTTTGAACACATTACCAGAAAGAAGTGGAACAGCGTTGCAACTGACCAAGAGAGAGTGACGCCGTGGGAAAACATTGCTGCCCGGATCAATGCATAACTTTCAACAGAACAGACAAACCTGGTCCTGACCAGGTTAGATTCAGAGAGTCTGTTACTGCGGTAACTGACTGAGAGCTGAAGTTACCTCATTTCTGAAGCAGGCTAGAGTTACCCCTCTTTCTCTGGTTTCAGTTATCTGCCTTATTCAAAGGCAAAACTCATAGTTCCCCTCATCTTTGGGTAAAACGACTCTTGAGTTATCTCTAAACCTGCTTTGTCAAACAGACCACTGGTGTGTCGAAGGTAAATGCGTCATCACCGTTCGTGATGCGCACCCTAGCAGGGTGCAGCATGTAGAACGTGATGTTCTTCTGGTACAGGGCTTGCTTAACATCATTGCAAAACTGATCTCTTTTTTTGGGGGGGCGAGCATCACGCTGACATCCTGATAGAACTGTAAAGTGGCGTCCTGGTACGAGGACAAAAATCTGTACCCATTGCTTTCATCAGAATCTCTGAGACGAACTTGAGATGTCCTTTCTGTCTTCGCTACCTTTAGGAATGTTCACTATGCGGAGGTTGTTCTCTTCTTGACCAGTTCTCCAGGTCGTCGAAAAAAGCTGCTAGTTCTGTTTTTGGAGTGTGTCAACCTTGGACTTGGCTGAAGTTAGCCGCTCACATTTTTCACCAGCGACAGACCGCACGGAATTAAGAAGGCTCTGAAATAAGTTAACCGTCATGAGTATAGCAAAGCTTGCAATCATTTGGTGTCTTCTTGGATCAGTAAGGCAACTCTTCTTTTATTTAGGTCCGATACCATACCATACCATTTTCTACCGCTTATCCGGGATCGGTCACAGAGGCAGGGAATCCCACAGTTTCCCTCTCCCCAGACACATTTTCCAACTCTTACGGAGGGATTGCAAGGCATTCCCAGGCCAGCCGGGAGAGATAGTCTCTCCAGTGTGTCCGGGGTCGTCATCGGGGCCTCCTGCCAGTGGGACTTGCATGCAACACTTCACCAGGGAGGCATCCTAATCAAATGCCCGAGCCACCTCATCTGGCTCTTCTGAATGTTGAGAAATAGCAGTTCGAATCTGAGTCCAAATTATTTGTAGATTTTAAAGAGTGTGATGCTATAGGTTATGCGTTAGATTTGGACCATTTCAACCGCCATCTGCTGGAACATGACAGTTTCGATTAATTAATTTTGCTTGATGTGTGCAGTGGAGGGGCGTGTGCAACATGATGACACAGGTAGGACATTTTTGTGGTCATTTGCTCAGCTCAACACTGCTAGCAAAACACAAATGAATGAGCTGAATAAATGGACTGTTTTGCTCACATGATGAGTGAAGTGATCTTGGGCAGTGTAACACTCAAATCAATTATCGGATAATTTTGAAATGTGGAAACGTTTCTCGATTCAAAAAGTGACAGTGATGAGAAAATGTATTTCTGTCGAGCTGATCGCATATTGTGTCTCTCATTAGTTTAGCTATTTGGTAGCTTGCTTAGCATACAGTCGGCTTCAAGATACAGTAAAACAAAATAAATACCTGAATGTTCAAGCAATTTATAATTTTAGGCAAAATTTCTCATCGATGTGGATCTTCTTATGTCTGAAAATTCTGACAAATAAATGGAGGTGCTTTCCAAATGTGTTTTTTTTTTTTTTTTTTTTTACATCAATGTTCAAGCCAGTCCAGTGGTTAGCTCGACCTCACAGTACAGAGGTCGTGGGTTCGATCCCGGCTCCGGCCTTCCTATGTGGAGTTTGCATGTTCTAACCATGCCTGCGTGGGTTTTCTCCGGGTACTCTGGTTTCCTCCCACATTCCAAAAACATGCATGGCAGGCTGATTGAACACTCTAAATTTTGCAATTAAATATCATGTTTTATTCACGTTCATTTCTTTTGTCGTCCAAAGGTGACAAGAAAGTTTTCTATTGCAAAGATTGTGAAATAATGTAACTTTTGTTTTATTTTATTTATTTTATCTTTTTCCCAAGGGAACACTTTTTTGCGGCCCGGTGGTCCAGTGGATGAACACTAAAATTTAGAGTGTTCAATCAGCCTGCCATACATGTTTTTGGAATGTAGGAGGGAACTGGAGTACCGGGAGAAAACCCACGCAGGCCCGGAGAGAACATGCAAACTCCACACAGGGAGGCCGGAGCTGGAATTGAACCCCGTACCTCTGCACTGTGAGGTCAACGTGCTAACCACTGGCTCACCGGGCCGCAAAAAAAGCGTTCCCTTGGGGAAAAAAAATTATAATAAAATAAAAGTGACGTTAGTTCGCAATCCTTGCGAGGGAAAACTTTCTTGTCACCTTTGGATGACAAAAGAAATGAACGTGAATAAGACATGATATTTAGTTGCGAACCCATTAATTGAAACAACTGCTGCATATGTCATCTCCCATGTTACGAAAATTTCACAGTTATCTCAAATACAGTAGAGTGCTGGAACATAATTCGCTTGAGCTAATATTTTGCACCAATAGATGCTTGTGGAGGCTCTCAGTCGTACAGGAAAGTTCCATCGTAGAAAGGGTTCCGTCAGTCGTCATCTGTACCTGTGGGTAAAAAACAAAAAACAAAAAGATAAACTAATTGACCAGCAACTTTATTTCAAACTTTATCCAGGCAAGGCCACCCCGCTAATCTACGGTCTACCAAAAATCCACAAAGAAAACGTCCCGCTACGACCCATAGTCAGCAGTATAGACTCGGTTACTTATAATGTAGCTAAACACTTAACCTCAATATTGTCGCCTCTTGTGGGCCTGAGCAAACACAATGTTGAAAACACAGGTGAATTTGTCAACAAAATTAGAGACCTAAAAGTAGAGAATGACGAAACAATCGTTTCTTTCGACGTCACAGCCCTGTTCACCTCGGTGCCCACAGCCAGGGCTGTAGAGGCTGTTAGAAGAAAACTTTTAGATGACAAAACGCTAGCTGAAAGAACTAAACTTTTGCCGGAACACATTTGTGAACTGTTAGAAATATGCCTCAACACAACTTACTTCAAATTCAGGGACACGTTTTACCACCAGGTTTTTGGATGTGCCATGGGATCCCCTGTGTCTCCCATTGTGGCCAACTTGTACATGGAAGAATTTGAA